ATCTGTGCTCCCATTTAAATATTCAGCAGCCACTTTCATTGGAATAAACCACCTTCAAACTGATCTGCAGATTATATTTAAATTCCAAAAAGAGATTTGCACTTCCTCAGGTGTAGTAAAAAAAGAAACATTCATTATGTATTAACAGCTATTCTCTATTAGTTTCCTTTYTTCTTAAGCCTCATTTTGTGAAGCACGGACTCTTACGCAACCATCCTCCCTCTCATTTGTTTCTTCTGCAAATGTTTTTTCCTTTATCTCTAAAACATCTTTACTATAAATCTTTCTCATCTTATTGGCAAACATATTAAAAGTCTGCATTGATCATAATCATAGTAAAGGAGCTTCATGTTCCTTTATGTTTAATGTGTCCACCCTGTGTACCACCCTCCATCTTCTTTTATCTTCCGTTCTCAAACATTCAATCAGAGTAACGTGTGTAGGAATATTGATGTTAATTACCTTTCATCTGTYAATAGCTGTTCAATCTGTGAGATACCACAACACACACACAGTGAAGGGTATCAGAGTTGAGTATTCTCTTTGCCTGAAAACTGAAGCTTAAATCAAATAGGTGGTCTATTTGCAATCTTTCTTTTTATCCTCGACAGTTAATCCACCTAAATGCTGTTGCTAAATATGGCAGATAGTTGAGGCCAAAACAAGGTGCAGCAGTAATGTTAAAGTCCTCTGACAACAGCGAACTTTATCTGAATCATAATGATGGGCTGATGCAACTTTATTGTAGGAGGTGAGATGGCACCATATGAGTCTGTGGGCTGGACCAAACTGTCTCRTGGCATTTCATCTGTTGCACACAAAGAACAGAAGAAAGATCTTTGCTTTTTTTTGCCTTTTTTTAAGAAAGCAGAACTCATCCTCAGCTTTATTAGCACTTAGCCTGGTTTGTTTGTATAAGAATAATAACCATTTTAATTGGGTCATAGTTGAGCACTCAACACACCTAACAAAGAAAAGGATGACCTTGTTGAACACTTTCACAGCATTGTGAATCAACTAAAGCAGACAGAGAGAAAAATCAGTCACAGTAGTCAGAGTAACTTAGGCAGGATCTTGATCCAAATATTTCAAAATACCAAAAAAAAAAAATTGAAAAAAAGGAAAAAAAAGAACCTCTGCATAAATGTAATTAAAATGACAGTATCCAATGTTTTGGCTAAAAGACTGATATTCTGATAACTACTTCTAATTATTCATTCTCCTTRGCCTAAAAGGCACAGTAATTATTAAACTAATAATTGATTAGCTGTCTTTCCTGGAGAGGAATAGTAGTTGTACTAATTGGAACTGAGCAAATCTGCAGAGAGATCTGTGTTTGAACTTTTTCCGTCCGTCCGTCCGTTTTCTGCCACTTATCTGCAATCAGGTCACGGGGGCAGCAGCCTAAGCTGAGAGACCCAGATTTCCCTCTCCCCAGCCACTTGGGCCTGCTTGTCTGGGGGAATCCCAAGGCGTTCCCAGGCCAGCCGAGAAACATAGTCCCTCCAGCGTGTCCTGGGTCTTCCCCTAGGCCTCCTCCCAGTAAGACATGCCCGGAACACCTCACCAGGGAGGCGTCCAGGAGGCATCCTAACCAGATGCCCGAGCCACCTCAACTGGCTCCTCTTGACGTGGAAAAGCAGCAGGTCTACTCTGCATCCTCCAGGATGACCAAGCTTCTCACCCTATCTCTAAGGGAGAGCCCAGACACCCTGCAAAGGAAACTCATTTTGGTCACTTGCATTCGCGATCTAATTCTTTCTGTCACTACCCAAAGTTCGTGACCATAGATGAGGGTAGGAATGTAGACCGACCGGAAAACCGAGAGCTTTGCCTTCTGGCTCAGCTCCCGCCTCACCACGACAGACCGGTACAATGTCCGCATCACTGCAGATGCAGCACCAATCTGCCTGTTGATCTCCCGCTCCATTCTTCCCTCATTCGTGAACAAGACCCCGAGATACTTAAACTCCTCCACTTGGGGCAGGACCTCTCCTCGACCCAGAGGTGGCAGGCTTCTGTTTTCCGGCTCAAGACCATAGTCTCGGATTTGGAGGCACTGATCCTCATCCCGGCCGCTTCACACTCTGCTGTGAACTGCTCCAGTGAGAGCCGGAGATCACAATCTGATGAAGCCAATAGGACCACATCATTTGCAAAAAGCAGAGCTGTGATCCTAAGGTCACCAAAAACGATGCCCTCAACACCTTGGCTGCACCTAGAAATTCTGTCCATAAAAGTTATGAACAGAATCGTTGACAAAGGGCAACGTTGGCGGAGTCTAACTCTCACCGAAAATGAGTCTGACTTACTACCAGCATTGCGGACCAAGCTCTGGCATTGGTCATACAGGGACKTAACAAGCCCGTATCAATGGGCCTGTTACCCCATACTCCTGGAGTACCCCCCCACAGGAGTCCCCAAGGGACACGGTCAAACGCCTTCTCCAAGTCCACAAATCACATGTAGACTGCGTGGGTGAACTCCCACGCACCTTCCAGGACCCCGCTGAGGGTGTAGAGCTGGTCCACTGTTCCACGACCAGGACGAAAACCACACTGCTATTCCTGAATACGAGATACGACTATCCGACGGACCCTCCTCTCCAGGACCCCTGAATAGACCTTACCAGGGAGGCTCAGAAGTGTGATCCCCCTATGGTTGGAACACACTCTGCGGTCCCCCTTTTTAAATAGGGAGACCACCACCCCGGTCTGCTAATCCAGGGGAACTGCCCCTGATGTCCACGCAATATTGTAGAGTTGCGTCAACCAATGCAACCCCATAACATCCAGAGCCTTAAGGAACTCCGGGCGAATCTCATCCACCCCTGGCGCCCTGCCACCAAGAAGCTTTTTAACCACCTCGGTGACCTTGGCACCAGAGATTGGAGAGTCTGACCCAGGGTCCTCAGGCTCTGCTTCCTCATGGGAAGACATGTCGGTAGGATTGAGGAGGTCTTCGAAGTATTCCGCCCACTGACCCACAAGGTCCCGAGTTGAGGTCAGCAGCGCACCATTCCCACCATAAATAATGTTGGTGGCGAACCGCTTTCCCCCACTGAGAAGCCAGATGGTAGACCAGAATTGCCAGATGGTAGACCAGAATTGCCTCGAAGCTATACGGAAATGGCCTCTCCGAACTCCTCCCACGCCCGAGTTTTTTCCTCAGCTACCATCCGAGCCACAATCCGCATGGACTGCCGATACCTATCAGCTGCTTCCGGAGTCCCACAGGACAAAAAGACCCGATATGACTCCTTCTTCAGCCTGACAACATCCCTCACCCGCCAGTGTCCACCTGCGGGTTCGAGGGTTGCCGCCATGACAGGCACCGACAACCTTACGGCCACAGCTCAGGTAAGCCGCCTCGACAATGGAGGCATGGAACATGGCCTACTCGGACTCAATGTCCCCCACCTCCCCCGGAACGTGTTTGAAGTTCCCTCAGAGGTGTGAGTTGAAGCTCTGTCTGACGGGAGGCTCTGACAGATGTTCCCAGCAGACCCTCACTATGCGTTTGGGTCTGCCAGGTCTGACTGGCATCCTTCCCCACTAATGGAGCCAACTCACCACCAGGTAGTGGTCAGTTGACAGCTCCGGCCCTCTCTTCACCCGAGTGTCCAAAACATGCGGCCACAGATCAGATGAAACAACACCAAAGTTGATCATCGAACTGCGGCCTAGGGTGTCCTGGTGCCAAGAGCACATATGGACACCCTTATGTTTGAACATGGTGTTTGTTATGAACAATCCATGATGAGCACAGAAGTCCAATAACAAAACACCGCTCGGGTTCAGATCAGCGAAGTCCCCCAGCAGAACGAGGGAGTCCCCGTTAGGAGCGCTCTCAAGCACCCCTTCCTAGGACTTCAGAAAGGGTGGGTAATCTGAACTACTGTTAGGCGCAAAGGCACAAAAAACAGTCAGGACCCGTCCCCCCACCCTTCGACGGAGGGAGGCTACCCTATTGTTCACCGGGGTGAACCCCAACGTACTGGCACCGAGATGGGGGGCAATAAGTATGCCCACTCCTGTTCAGCGCCTCTCAGCATGGGCAACTCCAGAGTGGAAGAGTGTCCAACCCCTCTCGAGGAGACTGGTTCCAGAGCCAGAGTGATGCGTCAAGGTGAATCCAACTATATCTAGTCGGAACCTCTCAACCTCACACACCAGCTCAGGCTCCTTCCCCACCAGAGAGGTGACATTTCACGTCCCTAGAGCCAGCTTCTGTAGCCGAGGATCAGACCTCCAAGGTCCCCGCCCTTGACTACTGCCCAACACACTTTGCACCCGACCTCTACTGCCCCTCCCACAGGTGGTGAGCCCATGATAAGGGGGACCCACATCTCCTCTTAGGGCTGTGCCCAACCAGGCTCCATGGGTGAAAGCCTGGCCACCAGGCGCTTGCCAACGAGCCCCACCTCCAGGCCTGGCTCCAGAGTGGGGCCCCGGTGACCCGCGTCCGGGCGAGGGAACACTGAATCCGTTTATTGTGTTCATCATGAGGGTCTTTGGGCTGCACTTTGTCTGATCTCTCACCTAAGAGCTGTTTGCCTTGGGTGACCCTACTGGGGGCATGAAGCCCCTGACAACATACTCCTCCTAGGATCATTGAGGCACTCAAACCTCTCCACCACGATAAGGTGGCAGCCCAAGGAGAGGAGAACTTTTTCCAGTTTTTTTATTTTAAATTTTAAAATTTAAGATACTAAATTTTAAACTAATAATTAATATTTAAATGTAAATACTTTTAGATGCTTACAATTTATAGAACCCTAGTAGCTACTCTTTTTTTTCACATATTTGGTCTGATTACTATCTCACAAGCTCTGGTCATTGGGGGGAAAAAAAACTCAAAAAATCCTTTTGTATCAACAGTTTAAAAAATAAAACGGTGTACAAGAATATTTAGGGCAGTTGATACATTTGTTGTTGTTTTTTTCCTCGAACGTCCAACGTCCCATCTAAAGGGAAAACTCATCTCTTTTTGTCTTCAAGGCAATGGAAAAGGTTTCACAGGAAAAGCAACGATGAAGGCCTCGCCCATGAAGGCTTCTCCCATGAAGGCCTCACCCATGAAGACCTCTCCCATGAAGGCTTCACCCATGAAGACCTCTCCCATGAAGGCTTCACCCATGAAGACCTCTCCCATGAAGGCTTCACCNTCCCATGAAGGCTTCACCCATGAAGACCTCTCCCATGAAGGCTTCACCCATGAAGACCTCTCCCATGAAGGCTTCACCCATGAAGACCTCTCCCACYAAGGCTTCACCCATGAAGACCTCACCCTCGAAAGCCTCACCCATGACACCTATTGCTAACCTCAACCCCTACCAGAGCAGGTAGGTTTAAGTGAATGAGTCATAATGTCCTTACTTTAATATGTCATGTACAGTTAGATCCATATTTATTTGAACACAGACACAAAAGTAGTTGGAAAATTGACTCAAAGGCTATTTCATGGACAGGTGTGGGTCAATCTCAATTAAGCAGATAAAAGGCCTGGAGTTGATTTGKGATGTAATGGTTGAATTTGGAATATTTTGCTGTAAAAAAACATGCAGTCAAAGTAGCTATCCATGCAGGTGAAACAAGCCATCTTTAAGCTGCAAAAACAGAAAATAAAACATCTGAGAAATTGCTACAATATTAGGAGTGGCAAAATCTACAGTTTGGTACATCCTGAGAAAGAAAGAAAGAAAGAAAGAAAGAAAGAAAGCACTGGTGAACTCATCAATGCAGAAAGACCTGGGCACCCATGGAAGACAACAGTGGTGGATGATTGCAGAATAATCTCCATGGTGAAGAGAAACCCCTTCACAATAGCCAACCAAGTGAACAACACTCACCAGGATGTAGAAGTATCAATATCCAAATCCACCATAAAGAGAAGACTGCATGGAAGTAAATACAAAGGGTTCATTGCACGCTGCAAGCCACTCATAAGCATCAAGAATAAAAAGGCTAGACTGGACTTTGCTAAAAAAACATCTAAAAAAGCCAGCACAGTTCTGGAAGAACATTCTTTGGACAGATGGAACSAAGATCAACCTCTATCAGAATGATGGAAAGAGAAAAGTGTGGCGAAYGCGTGGTACAGCTCATGAACCAAAGCATACCATGTCATCTGTAAAACACAGCAGAGCAGTGTGATGGCTTGGTCATGCATGGCTGCCAGTGGCACTGGGTCACTAGTGTTTATTGATGATGTGACACAGGACAGAAGCAGCCAAATGAATTCTGAGGTATTCAGAGCCATACTGTGTGCTCAGATCAGCCAAATGTAACCAAACTGATTGGTCGTCGTTTCATACTACAGATGGACAATGACCCAAAACATAAAGCCAAAGCAACCCAGGAGTTTATTAAAGCAAAGAAGMGGAATATTCTTGAATGGCCAAGTCAGTCACCTGATCTCAACCCAARTGAGCYTTTCACTTYTTAAAGACTAAACTTCAGACAGAAAGGCCCACAAACCAGCAACTAAAAACCGCTACAGTGAAGGGCTGGCAGAGCATTAAAAAGGAGGAAACAGCATCTGGTGATGTCCATGAGTTCAAGACTTCAGGCAGTCATTGCCAACAAATTACTTTTGAGCCCCTGAAATGAAGGGATTGTGTTTAAAAATGCTTTAGTTCTTCACATTTCTCTGCATTTTGTTCAACTCACTGATTTGAAGCTGAGAGTCTGAACTTCAACTGCATCCAAAATGTTTTGTTCAAAATTCATTGTGGTCATGTACAGAAGCAAAATTAGGAAAAATGTTGTCTCTGTCCAAACAGATATGGATCTAACTGTATATAATTCTCTATTGGACCTAAACCTGCCTTACACCCCTTTTGTCCCAACAAACTTGTGCAWGCATTTGTCACTTCCCGTTCAGATCATTTTCTCCACTGCTCAGTCATCAGCAAAACTATTTTCAGTGATGTGACTGCAGTTCCTTCTTGCTGCCATTTCTCTGTAACACTTCAGGGCATGTTTGAAAATGTGTGTTGGTGCATGCGTCTGCAAGCGTTATTTATTTTTGTTATATACGAAAGTGTGCACTTCTGTGGACTTGAGTGTGTGTATGTGATCCAGTCCATTTGCATGGAAATGAAATGAAATAACTGATCTTGCCTCAGAAATTGACATTTTTAAGGCAGGTACTGCTGGGTTTTTATGTTCTGCTGCTGAGGTTTTGATTCTGTATTTTGCCCCACTGGGAATACAGCCAGTCTCATCTGTCCCCCTTTTTTCCCCTTCACTCCTACACTTACTGCTCCAGGGTTCCACTTTATTGCTGTTTCCCCACTCTCTTCTTTCTTGTCATTTCATTAAATGTGTGTCTTTGAGRTTAAAGATGACCGAAAACCACTAGTACAAAATGGCAAAGTGTAGTTACCTAGAGTAAAGTAAAGGTACAGCAACTCTCCATGTTTAGGCTCTAATAACATAGATGTGTTTTGAAATGGTAAGCTGGAAAGATAACTCTCCCTCCAGGTGTTGTAATAAACTGATGACTGTTCTAACTTTGATGTCAGGGAATACTAGCAGTGAGTAAAAATYGATGACTTCAGCAGTTGTGCTGCTTTCATGAAGGTTTGTATGTGTGATACCACGAAACACAATATTCAAACGCATACAGAGATGTGTCATATAACCCTTCGCATAGCTTTCCTATCCTGATTTTGCTGGTTTAAAGTCACTATAAGATGTTTTTTGTCTACCATAAACCTTAGTGTAGCTGACTTATCCACACTGAGCAGAAAATGGAGCTCACTCTGGGCCAGCGGCTGCTCTCATGATAGAGGATTTAATTGCAGGAAAAGTTATGGCATGAATATCCTCCACTGCACAATTATCAAGGCAATGGGAAAAAAAAAAACACCTCACTGCTGCATAAAGTGCAGAGCTGGGCTGGCTGTTGTTAAAAACAGAGCAAGAAGCATATTTTAAATGCATCCAGGAGTTGTCGGATGTGAAACACCTAGTTCCTCTTTTGAAGAAAAAGTTTTTTTTATTTTACAGAAATTTATAACAAATTAAAGAGAGTCGTAGTCTTTTGGGGGGAATTGTTCACTTCTCTTGTGTTTAACATTGTTTGGGATGCTTATTATATATAAAACAGCCTTTTAAATCATGTCTGTTTTMCATATCTTTAAATCCTCCATTTTGTTTGAGAGTTTCAGATAAATAAATTTGGATCTAATATGTTCTACATGGATTTGTGTAATTCTTAGGTCATTAAACATTTTAAAACGTTTTCTTTGTGGGCAGTTTAGATCTTTAAATAAAGCCTGGCTCACACTTCAAGATAATGATGCTGAACTTTGACCCAATTGTGCTCTTTGTCAGTATTAAAGTAGACATACTGTGCTTTTAAATTCTTCTTTTTAACATTTAAATCATTCATTTGGGGTCTATATAAAGTGAAACTGCAATGCTTTGGTCTGGATGCCTCCTTATTGTAACTCCAGGTGTGCCTCAGATCAACTCATTTTGATACTGTCTCTTTACATCCAAAGTAGGTGCTTCACAGCCCGTCCCTCTCCAGCTTCCAGAGTAGTCCCTTCTAGTTTGATTTACAAATGAATTAAAAGATGTCAACAACAGAAAACTTGTCCATCCAGCCTAAAATGTTGGAGCCAGAGTCTGACCCAGCGCCAGAGGAGAATGAAGATGATCATATTGTAGTTGGCAAGTGTAGACCTTATTTGGAAGGCCAGCCACAAATAATTTGAAGTAATAGTTCCAAAAACATCATAGAAAATAGAGAAAAATATGTCTCAAACTAAATATAAAGATACAGTATCTACACAGCACCAGGGGAGACTAAATTGAACTTTTCTGCACTCCAAGAGACTCCAAGTACACAACAAAATGTATTTAATGGCTTAAAAAGTTGATTGTACATTTTATGTCATGTTTAAGGATGCCCCAATTATTGTGATGGCTCTAAAGATAATGTTAAGAGATATTCATTCACAGGGAATATCTCAAATCTACTCAACACTGCAATCACAATTTTTTATTGGATGTTCAGTGATATAACTTACTTTTTAATTGTGTATTTTGAGTGGGGTGGGGTGTTTATTTATTTTGATTATTAATGGCAAAATGTTTATT